GTTATACTTTAAGCTCTACAGTTATAAAAAGAAAAAAACAAACCAAAAAACCCTAAATCTACGAATCAAATATTAAATTTTAAATTCAAAGGGGTTAATTATTTAGTGCAACCTTGTAACATTTTTGCTGAACCCTATAGTGATTGCCAATTGTATCTTTGCAATTTGGAGGACGTGTGTATGAGAATTAATCCATTCCACCGCATTGTTACTCATAAAGAGCTACTTCAGTGATAATGGTAGTAACTGGTATAATTGGTTGTGCCATCTATCTGTTGATTTGGGGAGATACTATACCGCGATTAACATAAGAGTAAGTCTGGCACAGATTATTCCAAGAGCAATGTAACCACATCACACATACTCTCTGCCAAAGTGCATCACCCATAATAGTCAGGGACATGATGATCACATGTATTTCAGTATAGTCCATAACAATATGATTGGTAACAGTATAATTCATAGCAGTATAATTTGTTATACTATCATTCATTTAATTCATACAGTAAAATTCGTAACAGTATAATGCGACCTTCTTCTATTTCATCTCCCCCAAATGTATTGTTCATCAATTGACTTATGGTACGTAAGGGATGAGGAGTATTTATTTTCTTGAATTCTTTCAGCTTTTGGGTAATTTATGAATAACCAGTATATCAAAAAGGATTAAAATATCATATTATTGAAATTTGCAGATGATATAAAGTCTGAGTATTAAAATCAATTTTTATATTCAGTAATGTAATTAGCTTAAATACTATGGTATTCAAAATTGAATATTTTACATTAAGTACCATGCAGATATATCAATTATGTAGTTCTCATCAATTTTCAAAAAAAAAAAATTAAAAGTGATTATCAATTTACAAATCTTTATCATTAATTTATCAATCGACTATGAAATTAAATTTTGTTCTACTGCATTACGTAACTTTGTTCCTATTAGCAAGAAACCCACCTTGCAGATTGTTTACATGGGCACAAAACAATTTGTACACAACATTAAGTCCTTTACCCAAAATAAATTGTCTGAGAAGATGTTATACAATAAGAATCCTTACCAATAATACTTTGTAAGAGGGAAAAGTGCAAACCAATCGTAATAATGTTCCCTGAGAAATGTGACCCAGTTCCTGTTAATGGAGAGCTCCGCTGGTTATGTGTCTGTTTATTAATTGTTTGACAACATTACTGTCTTAAGAGTTGTAACTTGAAAATGATAAGAAAACAAAAATCATACCAGGGTTCGAAATTCACTATATACAACTCGCAAAATGCAAGTTGTAATATCCAAATTGCATGTTCAAAATTTTGTAATTTTTTGATTTTATGCATCCTAAATTTTACCTGGGAAAAAATATTTGTTTCACTTTCTTTCTGTTTAATTCTGCATATGTACAATTTTTAAATGAACAGTCATATGCCATGTCCGATGATCATGCAGGTAGAAAATTATAAAGTTTTTTAAAAGATGGATTGATGGCGGTTTTTTTTAAAAAAGCTTTTGTTGCAAGCTGTCTTTTGAAATTGTGTGTTCATTTCTTTGGTACTGGCAATTATCTACAAATTGTAATTTTAGGGATTAATATTGGTTTCAACCCCTGCATACTATATATATATATATATTGGTTTTTATAATAATTACTAATAGATGCAGGACTGCAGGTTATGACCATCACGCAACTGTCCTTTTTGTTGTTTTAAAAAGTGAAGATTTGAAGTACATGTATATATCTTTTGAATGATTTTAAGGTTTATATATGTATATCTTATGAATACAATTGATCAGTGCATATAAACCAAATATTCTATTCACTCTATCTTCTGAACATGTACTCCATTTATATACTTTGTAACTTTTACATTACCCTAAAATCTTGAAAATAAGACGGATTTAATAATAAGCCGGTTTTGAAAATAAGCCACCAATTTCTTGCATTAAAAATTACTCGAAAATAAGCCAGTTTGAAAATAAGCCGGTCATGACAATGCCATTTAGGAAAGATGTTAAACGTTTGACAATTTCTTCGTCTTAAAAATTTGACGAGTGAAAACTTTGACGACTTTACTAATAAAGGGTTGTTTATAAAGTTAATTTGAATACAATAATACTCTGTTCTCTTACCAGTTTTTTGCTTTGATAATAAGCCTGAATTTGAAAATAAGCCGGTCTTGAAAATAAGCCCCCACTTTCTTACCAAAACTTAAAATAAGCCGCGGCTTATTTTCAAGATTTTAGGGTATCTGGATTTAAGTATAAGATGAGAAAAATTATATCTGAATGCTTATAGATACCACTATAAAAAAGAATTGAAATGAAGGACCATTTACTACGATATTGTAATTTTATACAATACAAAAAAAATTGACCTCTTATATTTGCACTTAGTTCTTTTTATGAAATATGATTTGAAGAGCAGTATACATTCAGAATTGATAGTGACATTGGGGATGAAAATAGATTTGTTCTAAGACAATGAATGTTTATGATGTTGTTTTTGTAAACCTGATGACTGAATGAATTTGGTAAAGTTATTTTGGCACAGATCGTTTCTGACTTCAGTGATACAAGTTTACATGTACAAATCTACGCTGCATGAAACAGTTGTTTCTTCCATTGCTGCTGTCATAATACGATATTTTGGTTCCAAGTTCTGTCTGTGGAGCTCGACATGAAAGAAAATAAAAGCGGAGTCATTATGATTTAAGGATTGTTAGTTTATTGAGACTTAAACTGAAGAACAAGGGTTAGAATAGGGGGAATTGGCTCGTGTTGATACGTAAAACACGTGTAAAGAGAGGATTTGTCACAGACGAGTGCCGAATCACACCTCATTACGGGCCGCTGATGGACGAAGATTTTTCTTTTTTCTGTTCTGAAAAATTACCTGCTTCATTTGATGTGCAGACACCTTGCGGTCCGAAGCTGTAGAAGCAAAGCAGTCATAGGATCGGTGCTCATTCCCTCTTGGTTAATTTCTCACTGTAGCTGTTTTTTTTTATATGCAGAATGTAATTGATAAAACTGCCTTCAAATTCTTCCAAGATCCATATATTCTTTTCTTAAAAATATCTAGAAACAAGTGCTTTCATTAACTTTTTTGCAGGATTTCTTTTCTCTTTTTTTCTGAATGTGATGCAGATATAAATTCCCTGTAGATTATATTGTGCAAAGTTCAGCCTTAATGTATAGATTGGTGGCAATTTTGTTTTATTCTTATTCAATATTTTTAATATTGATTTTGAATTCTTTTTTCTTAATTTTATTGATAAACTTTCATTTTCTGCTTATTTAATGTTCTCCGTTTACCAGCTAGTACACCATTTACAATCTCCGAGATTCCTGTCAATTTATTGCTGGAGCCAAAATAATTCATATTTAGTCATAATGGGATATATTTCTTGAGTAATTTGATCAGGCCCAGTCTTATCAAAGCATATCTGATGGAGGCCAAAAGAGTTTTATGTCATAAATATAAAACAAAGAGAATATATTTTGAACATTCTTTATTTCAAATGCTTGGTCAATAACAATTTGATGGGTTCACTTTGGTAAAAATCTAATATATACTGCATATTCTGCTGATTTTGTAATCCACTGGTCTTTTAAAATTTCTGTGTTGATTTGCTCCATTCCAAAGCAAAGCACATAAAAGATTTATCCAAAGATGTGCCGGTGAAAAAACTAAATCTATCAGCCTTATTATTTATATGAAATTTGTTGTCTTTAACCGGGATTGGATGTTTTTATGGAAATAAATGATTTGATTTTCATTGCTTTCTCTTTAAATTATACCACTTGAAAGTTAGCCAAATGTGTGGGTTTTTTTTTTCATCTCAACCCAAACTGCTATATGAACAAACTTAAAGATTACCTAAACGCACTTGAAGATTTTTCATTGTTCTCTCTATTGGAGAAAGTAGTGGAAATGTGTATTTTTTTATGTCTTTCCAGACAGCTGGTGTTAAATGTAATACTGTGAAATCTTTTTTTTTTTTGGGGGGGGGGGGGGTTGGGGGGGTATTTTTGTTGTTTTCAAGGTTTGGATTGAGACACCCACAAATTTATGACCACCACGAAATGATATTTTTCAAATGCAATATATACTATTAAACATTTTCAAAATGAAATCAAACGCCCAAAAACAATATATTTATCTCAAACCTTGAAAATTTCACCCCATGAAAAAAACATGTTATTTTACAGTATGGGTATTTTGTCTTTTCAGACGGCCTCTAGGAATGTGGTGCTGAAGAGAGAGATCCTTCTCCACAGTACCGAGTTCTGGCTGGTGGCAGTGACAGAGAACGGAACCGCAACTGACGTCCATTTCCAAGAGAACGACAAGCTTATCTCAGGTTCTCATCAACAAAGACATTGTTATCCATCATTTATCATTATAATCATAAATCATCATTCATATATACGGTTGAACTTACATGGGTATTGCCAACATACAGAGTACCTGCATGGATATGTTGAAGTGAGTTGGAAGTTCCAACCACTTATTCTTTTAGTGCTTTTCTGTTTAATATCTTAAAGTCTCAGATATATCAAGTTTTTTTTGGTCATGATAACAAGATTTGACTGTAAATACATGTACAGTGAAACACATCTCTAACAAATATTTTGATGAACTTCTTCATATAGGGTAGTCAAGTTTTGTCACCAATGTTTCTAGATATATAACTTATTGACTTGTGGAAGTTGAAATTGCTTGGTGTTTTCTTATATTAAAGTTTGAAATAGCAACAAGAATAGATTTGTATTAATGAAGGGATGCTAAAACCTAAATCATGAAGTTAATATGAAATGTAAATCCAATTAACTCATTGCAAATAAATGCAATATTTTAAGATCATAATTGATAATGAGCTAATGAAGGCTAATTAAGAATACTTTTTTTTATATAGAGGTGATGTATCCTCCATCAGGTTCCTTAACTGCCAGTACAAACAGTGGATCCTCGGTCAACACCCCCCTCCAGGTTAACTACACCATCACTGAGGACCCCCTAGATACCACCCTCTCCGCTCTCGTCCAGTGGTCCAACCCGCCCCTCCCTTTGGGGGAGGGGACGCCTACACGGTGACCTGGTTTATGGAGAACTGTCAGATTTGGGAGTACTCCCCACCTTGTGATCAACCGGCTGACCATTACTCACACACTGTGTTTTATTCCAAGGACAAAGAGGTACCTAAAAGGGGGCAAACACAAAATATGTTGTTGAAAGAATGAAAATTTTTTTGTTTAAAATGATGGTTACAGCAGCAAATTGTAATATACAACATGTATAGCTATAAAACAGCTACAATCACAAAAGAGTTATGATAAATTTGATCTACTGATATGAAAACAATTTTTTTTAAGGTCTACTTTGTTTATTATTTTATTCAAAACAGCTGAATGCAGGACTTTTACTAAAAAGTATTTTTGAAGAAAACAGTACTAGCAAATATATTAAAAAGAAATTATATCCTGACAAATTCAATCAACAATTCCAAATGATTTTTTTTTTCAGTGTTGAAACAGTGCCATTTAACGTTAACATTGTTTTTAATGTGTCTTTAAAACTTTAAGATTTGTTCTGACTTTTTTCAGCCCTCTTATGTGATCAAGTCCCTGATGTACAACTCACTATACAATGTGAGAGTGGACCTTAGCCTTGCCAGTCGCAATACGAAGAAAAAATGGTACGGACAAGTCGAATTTAAAACGGAACTCTGTGAAGATGTGGACACGAAGACATACACAAAATGTAACCATAACTACGTCGTCAACAATGGATCTGCTGTCACAGACTCGAATAAGCCCACCGGCGCAGACACAGTGGATGATGAAGAAGGTAATTATAGTGTAACCTGCCTAAACCAACACCTGTGTAAACTGATTTCCTGTGAAGTCCAACCTACATTTTCATTCCAATTTTAATGTTTTTCCATGTCATTTTACACGGTATACTCAGAAAATTTGTGATCCCCTGTGCATGTCTGCTTTGATTCCCATGTACTACTAAGAAAGAATTACCACACAAATTTACAGTTGTACAAGTCAAAACAATTTTCTGACAATTTGTAGAAAATTATGTTTGACTATATACTGTAGATCACTTAATTTTCGCGACACCATATTTTAGCGAGATAGTCATTGATTCTTTATAAGCGAGACAAAATTTTCACGAATTGTGGTCATTGTTCTATACAATCATAAGGAATACTATTATACGTGAGAAATAAATTTTCGCGAGCACTTACGCGAAAATAAAGTTCTCGCGAATAAAAAGTGATTTACAGTAGCTGCATGCATATGAGACCATTTAAATAATTGTGGTAAAATTTTAGTTAATATATAAAATTTTTATTGTAAAAAAAATCAATGGAAGGTACCTGGTAGTTCACAAAGGAGAGAACAAAAGTTCTTTACAGAATATTCATGTAATATGCTGCTGAGATCTAGCAAACACCACAAATTTTTGTATTCTTCCAATGCTTGAATTTTGTTATGGTTATATCCCTCTCTCTCTCTCTCTCTCTCTCTCTCTCTCTTCAATCTATTTCCCATTATAGGTGTCAGCTATAAGTCACTACAGTGCAGACTGGTGGTAATTTGTTTGACCTGTTAAAAGTTTAATTATTTTCTATAAGACTACATGCCTTATCACCACAGAGGAAGCGAAGGCATCAGATAAGCCCCTAGTGTAGAACAGCTCACTCCACACAGTAATTACCCAGAGCATTTCATACAGGATATTTTTTTTTAATCCCTTTGCTTCATCGCCTGTGAAGATAAGACAAAGTCCCTGTAGCTAACCTCTGAAATCCCAGCCAAAATCTAGCACCTTGTTCTTGTACCCCTTCAACAGAGATTCAGATAAATTTTCCCGTTTATCCCTAATTTTCACTAATTCCATGGGAGGGGTTGGGGATCTTTGGGTAAATTGCTTAATGCAGCTTTTCGTTTTAAATCAAAACAAACAATTTTGTTTCTTGGAGATCTTTAAAGATGTTTTCCATGTTTGATTCAAATCTGAAGAAGTTAAGGGAGTAATGGAGGGAAAGGTTTTTCTTCAGAAAGATCAGATCAAAACTGAAGTACATGTACCTGCATCTAATGAATTGTATCTCCCGCGGGTTTCTTGCATCAGTGCTGTTTTGCACATTCTAGGAAATATATCTGCATACTCACGTACAAAATTTTAAAAAAGATTTTGCAACTTAGGTTAATTATTTTAAAGATTTTAAGTTATCATAAGTTCTTTTAAAGATATTGTATATTGTTATAGAAGTAACCATGAAAAGATTTTTTTTTCAAAAACAATATCACTTTGCACTATTTGAGTGTGCCAAAAATATCAAACCAAGTTGAGAACTGGACAATGCTTTTTTTTTTTTTTCAAGGGAGACAATCAAATTTGTTCCGTCCTCATGTATAAATGTTCTTTTCAAAGAAAGGACAAACAAAATACACATGCATTGAAGGCGGTATATTGATCTCTCATAAAGTCAATAAATCAGTCAAAATATCTCATATACAAGACAAGTCTTGAGGGAGGAAGTAAGCGGTATGTGAAAGTTATTCAAGTACACTATTAGAAATGATGTATACACATTGTCAGTATTACTGTATTACGTATATTACGTACAGAGGCGATAAAAAACAAATAAAGCACAGCAAGAAAAATCAACATTAATAATTAAAAAACTCGGTTAAGTTTTCTCCCTGCATCAATCACTCGATCGGCAAATGAGGAGGATTTTGTATACGTTATTGTAAGACGAGAAACGATGCTTCATCTAAAGGGTATTGCTATGATTTCAGTAATGCCACCTTTTTCAACCCTTCTTATAAGAATCGTTGATGGTACCTCTGATGTTTGCCGCTAAACAATCTCATGCGTAAAGAATATGTGATATAAAAATCTAACACCCACTGAGGAAAGAAAATAATATTGAGATCACCATCAATTTTTGGCACCTTCTAAAATAGCATTACGTCAGTGGTACTGTATATTGTTTTTATAATGATGTACCCCTTCCCTGCAGATTAACGTCGTCTGCAAAAATCTTTTTTTCTTTCCATTATTTTTAATATCGTAAAGCGGGGCTTCTGTTTTGAAGATAATAACGGAACATGGTTGAAGCTTAGGTAAAGGGGAGAATAAGAATGTATGTTCATAAATAACTAAAACCCTGTCTAAGCAGTTGAAAGGGAATTCATTTCTCTTATCTGATACCAAGGAATTTTCTTCTTCAAGGAAAAGAATCAACAGAATACATTTTAATGACGTAGCAAGATTCGGACGGCATTTAGGGCATCAAAATCACTTGATTGCATGCTAAACAATAATTCTGCATAAAGACTGTAACTTTTGTGAATCTCAAGGCATTGCTAATATCAGAAATGTAAATACACACAATCAGACCTGTATAGTTTAGCTCCCCCCTGTAGATGCCTTATCGGACTTTGTCATCTATTATTAATTATTTTATCTCCTTGAATTCAGTGAAAATGAGTCCCACAATTCCATGACAGCTTATTTTATTGCAAGTCATCTGTTTTGGTTTATGACAATCTTGCATGTTTGGATTAGCAAAATAAATGCATGGGATTAAGGATTAGAAAACTTAAAGATTTTTAAACCTAGTAGCCCCCGGTTGCATCCTGTCTTGATATGATAAGTGTATTTATCTGTTGCCTCCTTAAAGAGATCGTTCTCCATCTTTAGACCTCAATTCCAGTGAACTCAAATGACGTAGAAGCCATCATGAAATCTACTCACATAGACTTCCTGTATACTTATATTGCACTTCCTCCCCCCATTGTTTTATCTGATATTGCTCTTTAAGCATGATCATGAGTTAGATTCTCACTTAGAAAGGGAGGGTTTTCTGCTTTAAAGTACAATATGTACATGACCAAACCCCTGATATTGTTCAATAGAAGATCTCTACTGGAATTTCTTTAATGGTGATACCTATATATAATGAAAAAGTTGGTTCAAAAGTGAAGATTATAAGTTTTAAATCAGTTATATTAATTGAAAATCAGAATTTATATAAGTGGTATTGATTTAAAATTGCTTTTTCTGGTCCTGCCCAATTTTTTTTTATATCCAAAGTCGTTTATTCATGCAGTATATGCCACAGCAATTTAGGGTAAAATCGTCAACTGCAAATTATCCTACTACAATTTGCAATAACATCTCTTCTTTTTCTCATCAAAAAGATCCTACCGATAGCTCTGATCCGTTACTGTAATCAAATTTTCTTGAACACATTTTATTGAAACCTGTTTACATAATTATGTAGATAATTAGAATAGATGAATTTATGAATATAATTTTTGGCTTTTTCAGACCCTTTGGTTTGGTACCTAAACATTGTATCCATGACGTATGACATAGATACAGATCGCGTCACGGCAAACGTCTCCTGGATGGTGCCATATAATACGTCATACATCCGCGGCTACTCCGTCGCCTGGAAACTCGTAGACACTGACTCCTACAAGCTGGACTCTAGCTACAAGCACACAGTCACCAACCACAGTTTCTATGTCATGTCCTTAGACCCCAATAAGGAGTATGAAGTTCAGGTATGTATGTTTTTACTTATTTTTCCTCCATTTCAGTTGTTTTGTAAAGGTCAAAACATTGGAAGCCAAGAGTGAGAAAAAATGGCTTATGACCTAAAGATGTGTCATGACTGAATTGAGATCATTATGTCAAGGTCAAATTGCCTGCAGAACAATTTTTTTTATTCTAACTTGTCCATATTTTGTAAATGGAAGGGAGAAGGGTTTTTCTTTTTTTTTTTTTTTTTACCTTTTTGTGAGTTTATTCATAGAACTTTTAGGGTTTTTTGTGAAAAATGAAATGAAGACTACATAGATATTTAAAATATCTTTGTTATGACTTAATATGATTTATTTATATATTTTATTTTTAGGTGGTACCTGTTTTCAAAGATAACAATGAGGGCTCCTTCATAGGAAACAACCAGGAGAGTGAGCGGTTGGTCTTTAACACTACGTGGTACAAGTCTATGCCTCCGACACCCAGAACGGGCATGAGAAGAGGTACAGTCACACACAGTTATAGGGAATAGGCTTAAAAAAAAAAAATTACTTTTAAAGAAGTGATTTTCATTCTCTGTAGTTCAAAATATATTTTAAAAGTTTTGGATGATCCTCATGGCACAGACAAAGTTTCATAACACACTAATGCATGTCATTTAATTTGTGGGCACAGCCATCCATTTTATGACAGCATGAGTATTCAAAATTTGAATTTAGTGCTTACTGGATTATTATGCACTATATGAATTACCATTTTCACATTCTTTGATTCAAAATGGATTAATTTTGCTCTGTATTTTACAGATCAACCAACAGTGAAGCAGTCCAGAATGCAGGGGGTCCTGGACAAGGTGATTATTGGGATTGCGATGATCGCCAGTATCACCCTTCTTGGACTCATCATGCTCTTTGTGTACAAGAAACGCCACAGCTTCAAGGACATCATTATCACCAAGTCGACCGTCGCCAAGAGCAACAGCTACAAGTCCAATGTGGGATGTAAGGATCTTTTTCTCACTTATATTTGTTTTGATATTTTAAGTCATTGTGAATATATCAAACATTCTGTATGTGCCCCAAGAAGAGACTGGCATGAGTAGGACATCGTGTAGATGTACTATTTTTCCACGAGGTCATAATTCCGTGGAATCTTGATTTCTTTGAATCCACAGGTAGAAAATTACGCGGATTTTTTAGACTCGCACTACATTCCTTACAAGTATTTTAAGTACCATGAGACAAACGGTACCATAAGCATTCAGGGTTGATCAGAAATTGATGAAATGTATGACAATTGGATCAAGATGATTATACATGTATACTTATAATCATATTCATTTAGAACATGCATCATCCCAAAAATTACTGAAATACTTCTATGAAAAATTGATTTTTACTGTAACAAATGTGGAATTTACCGAGTCCTGACACGTATTTACTTAAACTGACTTAGAAGTTCACACTTTGAGAAGTAAACAAGATAAAGGCAAATCCTCTAAAGAAGAATGCATCAAACTTCATGGCATGCTTTCCTGTATCTCAGAAATATTCAGTGTATGTGAGACTGGTTATTTATGTTTACACTGTAGACATGCTATGGAAGACGAACTAGGTTTCCATCGTCTACAATTGATGAGTCTGCTTTTGAGCTTTGATATTTTCTTTCTATGTAAATTAGATGATGGATTTTAAATTTTTAAGAGCTATGAATTAGGGATATTGATGGCCAATCCTAGTAGTTGCATGGATATAGGTGCCCTACTTTAATTTTGAAATTCATATTTCAGTTTTAAGAGATTTTTTTAAGGAAAGTTTTCATCAATTCAAACAAGGTTTTTTGTAGATGGGAAGAAATTGTTGAATCATCTGAAATGACAAAGGTCACAGAAAATGTCACTGAAATGATATCAGACAAGGCATATGATTCTTAGAAGAAAAATTGATATTTTAAAAAGAAAAGAAATTTAAGGCAAGAAAAAATAAGAATCATGCTTAGCTAACCGTAAAAGACAAAGGAAATAGAAGGATTTTAAAAAAAAAAACAAACTTCAAATTTAAATCAACACTTCGATCATCACACGTCTATAGATTAAATTCTGGTTGTTGAGGAAAGACTTGATTCTCTATTTCTGTGACAGACTGCAGTCAGAAAGACATAAAATTTTCTATTTCTGTAGCAAAGTCTCAGGTGCTTTCTCTGTTGCCCCGTGTTAATATTTTTCTCAGAAAAAAAAAATGCGAGATTCCTTTGTTGTAATTGAAGTCCCCTTGTTCTGGGATTGTGTTCATTCTGTTACAAAAGATGCAACACTTCAAGCATCTAAGCATGACCAAGCCCTGTTGGTTAGATCATATATTGTGGCAATTTGAGCTCAGGTTCTGTTGAAGGAATTTTCATTTTTTTCCCATACATCTATTGTTTGTGTGGGGCAACAGATTGTCTTACAAGTTTTGTTCTCCGTGTTATCTCTTTTTCTTCCTTTTTTTCCAAATCCTTTAAAAAAAATTTTGTCTTGGTTTTTTGAATATTCTAATTAGAGGGCTTGGGCTTTCTAGAAAAGTATATACATGTAGATGTATTAATTCCAAAGCACTAGACATACACCTCTTTAAAAAAAGAGTATTTAATAATTTAATTTTTTGCATTGTTTGATTACCAGGGGGTAAGCTCATGTACATTAATATTTTTAAATTTTGGCTCACACTGTATGGTGGTGGGTCATTGCGTTATGCACAAGAATTAGGTAACGTTGGTATATGTTCATATCTGTGATTTTTTTTTTTCATATGAATTAGTACAAATCTACATTACCTATGTCTTGAAAAGTAATAATTCTAAGGTTAAAAATTTCAGGGATATATTCTAATCTGACATACTCTTGATGGATAGGAGTTGGAAAATTTCATGTCTCACAACGTAACAAGATCAAAGTTTTGATTTCAGCAAGAAAGTATCATAGCAATTTATCTTGTGCCTTAATTCATAAAGAGGATACAAATCATGTTTGTCATCCAACAAAATGTTTTTGGCACAGGGCCTTATTAACAAAATTCAGGTGCTTTGGCTCTCCAGCTTTCTTTTTCCTCTCATGTAATTTTATGCCAGTTTAATTGTCTTGATTTCGTGGGATCCTGGAGAGCAAAGGAAGTTCTCGCTTCAGTTTTCTCCCTTTGATTTTGGCAGAGACTGCTTAAGGTGACCTAAGTCACCTAGAAACATGGTGATTTTAGTGTATATTCTACTAAAAATAAAAGACTCATTTATTATGTGATAATTGAAGCAGAATCTACTCAAAACCTTGTTTTTTGTGTTTCTTTTTTTTTTTTTTCAAATTTGTACATTTTTTTAATTTAGAAAAAAGGTACTTTAAAATATCTTAGCTAAAAAATTAACAGGGTGTTTTCAATTTTTTTTTTCAAAATCTTGCTTTTTGAGCAATCATAATCAAGAAAATCCATGGGTAGTTATTTTTGCTTGTTAGAATCATATTAGAAACTGAGCATTACAAATTATTACGTCTTTCTCACAATTTGTTTGTTTGAAAACATAGGGGAAAAAATTGGAGTAAGCCTGGCACCTACTCATTAGTTTCATCACTTTCTTTCCTAATCACTAAATACCCACAAATGATTATTGGAGAAGCAGGAATGAGGGTTTTCATTTACGTAAGTCTGCTGCTACAACATTGAAAAACACAAGTTTTCAGATCTTAATTGAGTATATGAAAGAAAAAAGTCAGCAGCAATATTTAAGTAAATCCCACATTAATGATGTAAAGAAAAAATACATGGTCATCAGTAGAGTTAGTTTGGAAAAGCTTGAAACATTCGATTCCATTATCAATTTGCATTAGTGAGTTAAATGGCTTTCAATAAGTAAATTATATAACAAAGTAATACACTAAATTTCCTGATGATTTGTTGTATAGGAAAAGGAACATGATACAACTAGTTAATACCATGATCAAATTCAGATATAAAATTTTATTGTCTTAAAACAGCGAGTGCAAAGAAAATATGTTGATTTTTTTCTTGTTAATATTTCCATGGAAATCTATCCTAACAACAACTCTTGCAACCTATCAAATACCTGGGTAGATAATGAAGTAGACTAAACAGCCTAGCTAATGCCTGATCAAAAGCAGACTTTTAGAATATTCAAGTTAATTATCAAAATGATATGAATACAAAAGGTGTTTTTTCCTATTCTTTTTTCTTTATTTTACAGGTAAGGTAGACTACTCCAATCAGTTACTGGTGATCAGTGACGAGTGGGAGCTGGATCCACGCCTACTCAAATTCAGCAGTCCCATTGGTCAGGGGGCATTTGGGAAAGTGGTAACTGGTTACTATGAGAACCAAAGAGTAGCCATCAAATTAGTCAGAGGTGAGGCAGGTCATTTCATAAGCAAAAGCTCAGAATTGTTTTTATATATTGTTTTTATTTATTCGAAAAATACAAGATCTGGTTTAAGAAAAGGAAAAAAAATGTCCATGCAGATAGACATGCACAATTAGATACCTTTGGCTGAATGGCTGTATCTTCCTCGCATACTCTTAACCTGCCTTGATACAGTAATGAACATGTAGCATCATCTTTGTTCATGAGGAATAAAAGTTAAGTTTTCTCAATATATCTGCTCATTTTATATGTATACGCAAATTTCCCCACAAAATTGCATTCCCACAATCTAATAATAGTTATAGACTGGCCAAGACAATTGACCCCACACAAATTAATATGATTCCGTATGGTATACTGAAAATGTATTATATTTAACGTGTATGATATTTGGCGGATATAGGATTTTTAACAAGTTAGTGTGGATTTGATTTAGCATATATCTTAAATAAATGTTTTTCTTTATAGGTATATGTACCAGACATTTAGCGTTGTTCTTGAATTAGCGGATATTACTTTCCGCCAAAAACGCTAAAAAGAATACACAGCTAAATGTAATACATTTACAGTATTCAGGAGATAAAAGTTTCTTTGACCATAGAAAAATAGAAAAAACCCAAGCCATCTTTCATTAAGTTACTTCTTTTTTACGTAAACAGTTGTTTGAAATCATTGAGGAAACAGGTGTACCATTGGTAGAAACAAGATAGGGACGTACAGATAAATTTTAAATAAATGACATAGAACACAGTCTTAATGATCCTGAGGAAGATTATAAACGATGATTACGAACTCGTAACCTGGACCATGTGTCTCAATGCATTCGTTCCTATCTTTCTTCTTTTTTTTTATCTTGTACAAAGATAAGAAAATCTTATCAAAGGAGTATTTATTGTCACGTTTACTATTTTGTTGTTTTTATGTTTACTACCAATGAAAATAAACTTAGTTCAGGAAAACTAGGTTACATTCAAATGAATTTTTGTAAGCTTATTTGAAAATCTTTCAAAATAATAATAAATAGATTTATTTTCAATAACTGCATGTACATAAAATCTCATACAGCATGAAAGTATAGGGAAAAACCATGATTTCGGAAAATTGTATATGAAAATAAATACAGATGATTTGCACTTGATGAGTTTTTCAAAAAAAACATTTTTTTTTAATTTGACAGACAGTGCACCCTTATCCTACAAAGAAGATCTTTTGGCTGAGATCAACTTGATGAAAAGAATCGGTTCTCACCCCAATATTGTATCCATGTCAGGGGCCTGCACTCTGTCAGAGCCCATAGCTCTGGTGATGGAATATGTCCCCTATGGAAACCTTCAAAATTTTCTCAAGTGAGTACCATTCAAGATTTTATTAAGAAATGCTAGCTATTTGAATTTATGAATAGTTTTTCTTTTTTTTTTTTTTAGGGGGGGGGGGGGGGGGGAGGGGTTACTTTAGTTTTTTAATTAAATTACTGTTTTGCATGCATAGCAATCTTAATTGTTTATAACTTTTTTTTATTTTCAACATGGGAAATCCATTTTTTTTTCACTGTACAAAATGTACTTTAAAATCATTAACAGCACAATCATCGTTATGAAAGATCAGAAAGAATACAATAATGATGATAAAAAGATGACTTAAATGATGCTGACCATGATTCTGAAATAATTAAGCTTGCAAGATCAAGATTATAAAGGCAGTAATTGGACATGGCATCTCTTTTCAACAGACTACCTCACCAAGCTAGTGTCCCACTTTAAGTACTTTGTTGGAAAATCATCGCTAATTAAAATGTATCATTTGAGACCTCAGTGCACTCTAAAAAGAGAAGCCACCTTTGAAAATTTCTTTGATAATTTCTGCCCAGAAGGGGATCTCTCTCTCAAGTCAAAGTCGGGGGATATATTGGATGTATGAAGGTATCGATTCTCAAAGGCAGCAACTCCAATTTGTTTCATTAACTGGGGCCTGAAATAAAAGAAACTGTAAAAAAGCAATAAGACCCCTGCCCAGGGAATTTCTTCAGTAGGGTTCAGGTGAACTTAGAGAATGTGGGTCAGTGAAGGTGATTGATGAGGTAATTGTAATTTGAACTGAGGCATTTTTAATTAAGCACACAGACAGTTGTAATTCAAATTATCCGTTGTGCAGTCCTGAAAAGTAATAGAAAAAGTGGCACTTGCAGTAATTAAGAGAATGGAAACAAGGAACACGATTCTGTATTGGAGGTGCCTTATCTCTGGCAGATTACCCCACTTTCATATGTATGTGCAAAAGCTCAGCCACTGAAATCCAGGCTTGTATGCAGTGCATTATGTTATAAATTTAAAGCAAACACTGGTTATCCCCTACTGTTTGAATGCTTCTGCTGAGGCAGACAGGCAAAGAACCCTGCCTTGATGCACAATTCTGATATCAAAATAATTTTTAGCAGATACTTTACAGGATAGAACAGCAGATTACAGCCTAATCACCCATATGATTATGCTAGGGGGTTTATATGGTGGTGTGCTGTTTTGGCTTTCCTCTGTTTTGCACTTGGGACCATTATCACCACAGCAGGGCCTATCAGTAACACATGACCCTGTGGCTGATAATATTGCCCTCCCCCCTGTCGGGCTTGGTGAAAAATCTGATGGCCATCTGATTTCTCCTGGCTTGAGATTTTTATATTAAGATTTCAAAACACTTTCCCTGAATAATTTATGAGTTCTTTGACTGATATAGAGGGTGGCTGCCATTAACTTTTTCTGGAGGGGGAGGGGAGGACTGATCTGAAAACTGAGAGGGAGGGGATGGTATTTGTTGAATTGCATGTAAAAGTGTATATTATACAAATCAAAAAATTTTCTTGCTTTATTTTCAAAAATGTTCCTTACAAAGTAAAATGGCTATTATCACTTTTATGTATTGAGGGTCAAAAAACTAACACAAAGAAGCAAAACTGGTCTTCTGTTTAAAAGTCTTAATTGAAGATCATTGATGTTAATAATTGGAAATTTATGTTTAAGAAATGCCAGGAAGTTATCAAGGCCAAGTTGGGTTCTATGTCAAGAATGACCTTGTGCCATATTTAATGAAGGAGAGATGTGGCATGGAGTACATTATTATGCACCCTTTCATTTTCTATAGGATTATCTAGCACTACCTAAAAAACACACAAGTCAGTCAAATCTTATCTTGTATAGTGGGGTTCTGGTTTCTTTACATTTGTGTTTTACTTCCTCACTTCATCTTACTCCAAGGTCACTATAATGCATGTCAAGCCATCAATTTTACAAGGGGAGGGTGGTGTAACAAAGGTCTTCTGGGTAATTTCAACTGGTCATAAGTAATACGGACTTTTCAGTGTTTTGGTTGAAGAATTACCAGGGTACTTTATGCAAGTAATGTCTTTTGTTGAACCTGTTTATTTTCTAAGCATCAGTTAATGGAATATGTTATACAAACAGTATCCAAGAAGAGGCTAGTTTAAAACCTATTATTTATGAATATATGCAAAAGTCTTAAATAAAAAATTATGTCATCAGTAACAAGCTCTGTGTAATTTATGAGCAAGATATTCCCCCAGTTTTGACTGCAGAATTGGATTTTCTTTAGACAAGCATTTTTATGCATCTTTCGGGATTAATAGCCCAATTATTTCAGTCACGAATAGGAATGAGTCCTACATAGGAGTTGCATTTGTTACTGATTTTTTAGAGTTTTATTTTTCTGTTGAGAGCAATTGGTTCTGCATTGATGTAGATGGGTTTATTAACAACCTAAAACTTTCAAATCTAACATTTTATTAAGGAAGTGCATGAAATTTGCGTTCATTCTAAAAGACTAAAACACACACTAAAAAAGGGGGGATCTTTAAGAAATACATTTCCAAATGTCATGCAATTTAAAAAAATCAATAATTTTTTTTTTAAAAAGAGTTCCAAGAAGATGTGGGTGTCGCAACTTGGAAATGAGCTGTATCTTTGAACTTTTTGATACAGAATGCAACTCAGAGAAACTCTTATAGTTTTGTACATATGCAATGAAATAGATGTATGGTACATAAAATGGTGTGTCCTTGGGAAAAGCCAGTATCCTTTTATACAAATTACATGTATTGGCCAGATATTTCTGTTGATTGCCTATAGATTATTTAGAGTAGGAAAGACTCCGAAAGTGTTTTAACAGAACATAAATTGATGGGATCAGTAAATTATTAGCTGTAGGCAGATGTACAGTGATTTGGCAGCCCTACCTGTTTGTTTGCGTATTTTGTCAGGAGGAAAGGTAGCCATCGTCTATTATATTCCTGTCATAATTTCGTCGGCGGAAAAAAAAATTTACGCAAAAAGATGTTCCTGTGTTATCTTTATAGCTTCTGATCATGGGAGTCCCTAATTTCATGCATAGTTAGAAATTATGCATTGTCTGTGGGGCTCCCCTGTTTTAATCAATCTGGTTCCAGAATCATTAGCTTTCATTTTACTTTTAACAATCGGCAATGTATTTATGGCCAACGAATTGTTTTTGACTCGTTTCGAAAAAAGTGATTGAAAGTATTTTTTCAGAACGATAATGAAAAGCAAAAAAATGCTGAAGTAATTGTTCTTGAAGGTTCAACAAGTAATTAAGCAGGGGTAAAAATTTTTGGCTAAACTCGAGATTTTTATTTTTTTAACTATGCACTTTAATGACTTTCTGCAGCCATGTTTTGCATGGCTGAGGAGTTCTGTACTACTACTCGATGACATATTACCAGGTATACCCTTTATCTGTTCAAAAGTCTGCACTTAAACTTAAGCTCTCGAACATGTGGTTAAGTCATCTCAGGCTAGGAGCATCAGTGCACGGGGCTGATTTTGTTTGTCATGTAAGATGTACTACAAGAACAAAACAAATCTCAAATTCCTGATGCAGCAAATTGACTGTATTAAGCCCCACTGTGTGGTTTATTGGACTCTCTGGATTGGCAGCTGTTTTGGGGATAACATTTTAAAAATAGAAATATTTTTCAATTAAATAAAATGCAGACTTCTTTGATCCTTGCTTTATAAACTCTTCATATAAAGAGTTTATATAGCATTGAGCTATTTAGAACTTGGATTTTATTTATTTATTATGAAATATTTTGAATGTTGCAAAACAGCTATAATGATGAATATTGCAAATCTTTTCCTCTTCTTATATTCTAATTTTGACATATAATAAACAAGTATTAAAACAAGTCATACAAACTATCCTTTTTTCAAATGTAAACAATATGAATATCAATCTTTGAATACGTATTAGGAGTAAATATAAGCTATTGACATTATAATTAATCATCTTTGTAACAATGTTTTACCTTTATATTTATTGTTTTGTTTGACGGAGGCTGGGAGTTCTAAATACCAGTAAACAGACATCATTCTTCTTGTATATACCTAGCATCCCCCTTCTTGCTCATCAGCTGTCAAGTCTGGACAGTCAGCCAAGGGTAATAATCAAAAATTAACAAGACCCATAAATCACTCAAGCAATGGCTGCCTCTCTCTCTCCTACCTCACACTCGGTGCAGACTGCGGAAGGTGTGAGGTTCGCCTTTATGATATCTGATGGCTGGCACGAGATTCCTGTCAGCATACTGCACAGATATGACAAATCGGGGTGCTGAATTTCATTAGTTCCTGCTTCCGAGATTTCCGTGGCATGCAGAAAATGAGTCTGTGATATGAATATGCATGTGCATCACTGTTTTCATGACCAGTTAGCATGTGGTCAAGATGTGTATGTAATATATTTTTGTTACATGCAGGTTGAAATCATTTTTAGATTGACAATTACTGGACACAGAGAATGTCAGCAGAACTAACTAATTGGTTTAGGGCTTTAAATTCTTATCCTCAAAATAACCCATTTTCCTTCTGGTCCCAAGAAAAGGATAGCTTAATTCTTCTCATTATAGTGGAACTCTTTTTCCTTAACATGAAAAGAATTTTTTTTTTTTTAAATTACTACATCAATGGACAAGGGTTTTGAAAAATCTACCGGTACTTGTATAAAATACCCATATGGTATGAAGCAGCTAATAAATTCTTTTTTGCAGTTTTGCCTTTCCAGTTAATAAGCAAATATCTTGATGATTCATAAAATGAAAGTCAAAACATTATTTGTTGCAGCAAGTTGTTTATGAAAACTGCATATTTAGAACTTTGATAAAAAGCCCAGAGTGCATGCATATACAGTTTAATATTTTTGCTTTTAATTTGCTTAAATGTGTAAAATCAATCCAGAGAAAATTACATTAAAAAAATATATATAAAAATTAAACCTGAAATTTATTAATTAAGTTACAAATTGAGCAATAATTGCAGATTTGATCAAATGAATTTCTTTCTTGTGCCAAAAAAAAAAAAAAAAGATAAGGCTTGAAGTTTTTCAAATGCAAGTCAAACTCCAGAGTCAAGGTCGAAAGGTCAAAATTGTTGATACCCAAATTAAGGAAGGCCATTTCACAAGGAATATACTTATGAAATATGATAGCCCTATTACTTTGGATACCAACAATTTGACTGAAGTTTGACAAAGTACCGGGTATTTGAAAAACTTCAACCCATGCTATAAGCTACTATATGGGGTATCATATTTCACAATCACAGCTTGTTTTTTCATATAGTTCTTAAATCTTTTTTTTTTAAATCTTATTAAAATTCAATGTAAGGGTAATTTGAAATCCACTTGTATATCCTTAAAACTTTATGTATTTGTAAAAAAAGAGACAAGCAGCTTTGGTAATATTGTGATATATTAGATTGCGTAATAATGAGCATTAATGTAATGAAATCTTTGAGCTCTTAAAGAACTGTATTTTGTAATGTTCTTTAATCAATACATCCCTCTTGAGTTCAAGTAATAGAAAAATTTGTCTAGCAGTAATTTGTTTCAAGGTTTTGGTATACATATCATTGAAAACTGGAACAATCCGAAACTAAACAATTTGAGCAGCTAGGTCAAACCGACGGGCTGAGAAAATCCTGCTCATTATCAACTTATTTTTGTAAATTATCAGTTGTTTACTTGCAGCTTCTAGATAAATATCAAAAGATTCCTAGTTATTATTTGAAGACGAAGTCATTTTAATTCTGAAGTCTTCGGAAATTTGTTTTTGTCAGACACTGATAATTTTCTGCCTAAAACCGTCAGCCAGTTGTACATTTTTTGATAATTTTTTTCCTGTCTGTCTTGGCTCAGAATTTGCCAGATGTAAAAGATTTTATTTTAGAAGAATTATTTTTAATTACTGCAGATATTTATAAGAATGATAATCTTAAATTAAGACATATTTTGGCGGAACATTATACCTGTTGACTCCATGCAGTCAAAATGCAGATTGAACTTCGAAAATGGGTGAAGCTTGTATATGCAGTGAAATGTGTGGAGATAACAAACAATATTCAAGCTCAAAAGTTCATTATATTTTAAAAACAATACAAAATAGGAGCAGAGCAAACACGAAGCTCCAAAACAATCAGAGATGGGATCAGGTGGCATGGGGGAATGAGCATCCCCTGCTGACCAGTCATGTATGCACTTAGAAGTCAGAATATGTTCACTTAATTACATTTAATTGAAGCATTGTCAAATATTTTTGTCTTGCAGAAAGTGTCGTTTAGAGGGGGATTTCCAGAAGCGTATAGGTCGTCCCAGTGAAGTGGTATACTCCCTAATGGACGAGAGTGGGGGTATTGACAGTGGTGTTATAACTCCGGCAGACATGTTGTCTTTTGCCAGACAAACTGCCATGGCAATGGTTAGTTTATGTGTAGTTTAATTTAAATTTACATCAGAACTTATCTCCCATGTCTCACATTCTTTGTAATTTGCATGTACAGATCAATTTGATGTGTTCTTGAATATTATGTAACGATGAAGTTGAAAAAGTGAAGGTGCTCTAGCTTTCATGAATAGTATGTCTCTGACTCAAATCATGTTCTGTTCTTACAAGGAAGTAAAATTGTCTTAGAATGTTGAGGTATATTTCTTTCGGAAATCCTTTATCAAATTTGAACACTTTTAGCAGATTGACCTACATTCCTTAACCACAATTTGTACGAACTCTTAAAAGAATTTCTCAGCTTCACTTTATCTTGTCTTATTTCTAACCTCAAAGAAGGAAAAAATCTTCCTACTATCAAACATACTTCACGGGACCAAAGAGGACATGCAAAGCTCATCCATATCAGTGTGAGCTTAAAACGTAGGAGCTGAGGTGCTGTTGCCAAATTATGTCTTCAACATTCTTAGACTTGTTTTTGCTTGTGATCTTGAAAAGTTTTACTATACATTTCTATCAACAACAGAAGAGATAAAATCAAAGCAATCAAAATACCAGGCCAGCTCTTCCCCAAACTCAACCAAAATATTGGACGGAGGCTGTTTCAACATGTCTTCCAAAGTCGTACATGCCAACTGATATTACATATTTAGACTGTGTTTTATGTTGGAGAGGAATTTTATCATATATTTTTTTATCTAACTTTGAGTATCTTTTGTTTGATTTTATTGGGTTCGTGAGTTCACCAGCGAGATGAGATGGTTAAGCAATGAGCACTTTTAGATTCATTCCTATAAGAAGATAAGACAGATTAAGTTCAATTACAGAAACTTGTATATGAATTAGGTGCAGTGAAATACATGTACATACTTTTTAGCAAAGGTTTTTTGTACTACTGTTCAGGAATTTCATTTTTAGATATATTGATTTATGACACTAAAACTAAAATCGTGTTTGGGTTATATTTTACCCTCTCTAAATTGAATACAAGCAACATCTGTTCTTCTACTTCTTAATGACTGTTCCTAAACTAGTACACAACTACTTGCCACCAAACAATTGAGAATACTTTGAAATTCCCAAAATAAATTTTTTTATCACCATTAGAAATAAATTTTCTCTCATCAATTTCTCCTCCTTTCATTTAGGAGTACCTGGCAGCAAAAAAATACGTTCACCGAGATTTAGCAGCCAGAAACGTCCTTCTGGGTTACGACAAAGTTGTAAAAGTTTGCGACTTTGGTCTGTCGAGGGACATTTACAACGACAACCAGTACCATAAGATAACCAGTGGGAAGCTCCCCCTCAAGTGGATGGCCATTGAGTCTCTGAGGGACCGCATCTTCACCACCCAGAGTGACGTCTGGTCCTTCGGAATCTTAATGTGGGAGATCATCACCATGGGTAAGATTGATTGAATGTTGTTTAACATCTCATCTGAGAATTTGTCACTTATATATGTACGTCGACATATGCTAGTGAAGGGCTTCAAATTTAGACCTATACTCAGTGCTCAGGGCTGTTGAACCATGAGTGTTATTTATATGCTTATACCTACCATGAAGTGGGGCCTAAGTTTTTTAGGGTTTTATACAAAAGACCAGTGACATTACTTTATTTTATTCAAAAGACCATGGTAATGTTGGGTGCTGGCAAAAGAACAATTTTTTTTTGGGTGGGGGGGGGGGGGGGGGATTTTCACTAAAGTGAGCTGTGGAAGCTGGTAGTTGTGTTTATTATACATAAATAACTATCTTTACAGTACATACAGTGCAGTTTGTCTCATCTAGGTGTTGTGTAATTTGAAATATTGTCTATAGATGAAAATTTTGACAATTTTTTAGTATCAGATTAGCCAGCTACTGTAGTATTTAATGCAATTAGAATTGTTCAATTATCAGGACTCAGTTAAAATAAAATACTGTTATAAAGTAATATTTAGTCTTTATTTCACTATGTTCCAAATCAATCAAATATTGATATCAAGAAATCACATCAAGATATAAATTTGTAGAGGATTAAAGATAACAGGGTAAAATAAATTACTTAAAGAATATGTGGTTGGGACTGCCAAAGTTCAAAGGTATTAATTATGGCTATACCAAAGAATGTATATGGATATAAAGAATATGTATTAAGAAGTTAAATTTAAAATTCCATTGTTTTCCATGTGTGAAGTTTTACTGTAAACATGAGAAAATTTCAATTAGTCTGTCTTGAAGCAAGCTGAGGGATACATAACATAAAGCTCTCATAGATATTTTCTACATGGAAGCCATTGGTATACTATATTCTTAGCACAACTGCTTATCATGTCAGCTTTCCTTGACAATGAGATGTTTTATTTTTTTTTTTGACAGGTGGTTCCCCATACCCAAATATAGCATTAGCAGACCTTTACTATGTTCTAGCCAATGGTTACAGGATGGAGAAACCCAGTAATTGTTCATCAGAATTGTAAGTAAAAATATATATCTGAAAAAAACCATTTTATTACATCATTCAAATCATTAGAAGCAGATGCTGGAGGTCATCCCTCATTATCAAGGTCAAATCCAGTGTAGTTTGGTTCAGGCAGTGCATTATGGGTAAAGAGGCACCCTACTGGCCTACTATCATCTGAAGCATGTATTTTTATCTGTATCCTCTTTCACAGCTAATTGGATTAGGGTGTTTTTCAATTGCTGTGTCTTCATACATTTCCCCCATCTGGGCTCACTGACTTCAGAGCTGGTGTGTTTACCTTGTCAGTCATATCAAACAGTGTATTAGACCCCTTCAAATTAACTCAATTTGATTTTGACTGATGAAGATTTTGGCAGACATACTGAAAAGGTGAGGGAACTGTATCTTCCTTCTACACAGGAAGTGTGATAAAATTTCCCAGCAGGTGTGGATCCTTATACAAAACTCAAAACTACACACGTATGCAAATCCATCTACAGATAAAATTATCAGCCGTATTGTTCTTTTCCTGTCAGCATTAAAAAAATTCTCTAGACAAAACCACCTTTTTCTTCAACCTCAAAATGTCACCACTGAGCATTTAGCAGAAATTATGGTTCTACCTGATGAGACGTTATGGCCCTATTTTTTACTTTGTTTTGGCTGCCGTTTCGGCTAATTTCAAGCAGTTTTTCCCCCTCCCCTTGTCAAGGTCACCTCTACTCATCATCTTTTTGTACTTTTCGTCTCTTATCACCTTTACATAGAATTTCTTCCTAGTTCTTACATCAAGGTCTCGTTTTTTGGGGGTCCACTATGTATCAGATCCTATGCCAAGTAGGATGTTTTTTAACAAGCTGCAATCACGTAGTGTAATTTGGCACCTTGAATGTGCAGTAAAATTTGAGGTCATAAAGATAGTTGCGATTCATAAGATACATGTATGAGAAGGGGTTAACGGTGCAAAGATAAGTATTTTATGATGATCAAACTTTATTACCGAAGCAAAACTGATAATGAATTCAATTTTTGTTATGTAAAAGTAAAAGATACCACATATAAGATTCAAATCTAGACATTTTAAATTATATAATGGAAAAAAAAAAAAGAAATTTAATTTATATATGCTTCTAATTCTCTGAAAGCATCTTTGAGATATGGACAGCAGATGAACAGTAAGATATTTATCGAAAAAGAAAATAATGCAGAATTGGTCACACCCAACTATTATTTTCATCAATCTTACAATCTCCGTTCTTTTCCGGTTTAAGATCTTTACGTTTTATCAGTTTGTTTTTTTGGCTTGAAATAGACTTCAGGTTGCGAGTTCGTGGGATATTTAATTGTAATGAACTTGTATCTCCACCAAGGCTTGGGCTAACAGGATGTAGGTGTATATTGGATTAAGATAACATGTACATACCTATATACATGTATATGATAGCACTGTTTAAAATCCAAAACAGTCAAACCCATTTATCCAGACACCTGCTTTGTTGCATTATCTTTTCTATGTACATGTATTGCAAAATTGGAAAAGCTGAAATATACTACTGTACAGAAAACTGTCAAAGAATGAAAAGGAAATTCATTTTTTGCAGTGCACAGTGTATTTTGCATCTTGTTTAAAGCAATCCCCCTCCCCCCTTTTTTTTTTTTACAAAAAATTGAATGAAAAGAATAAGAGAGTAAAGAGAGATTGACTTTTTTGCACTCTTCAGATGTGTCAGTCATATGAAATTGTGCAGACGTGCCTAAAGAGACATAGTTGTTCATAAGATCAAACAGTTTATACTAAGAGGTGTTATTTTTCTTTATCTAAAGATACTGTTATGGTAACATGTTTGTATTCACTCAGCTCTGTCAACTGGGGGAAAATTCAAGAATTTCAAAGATCTTTTATCTGATAAGATGATATTTTTACTTTAAGAAATGTTGTCTGATATTTTTACTTTAAGAAATGTTGTCTGCACTTTCATTATCAGTATTTGAATGAAATACTTGAGTTTTTCCCTTTATTTTTCTTACTGACAAAATAAGATATGCCATGGATTTTTGGGGGGTATTTGATGCAAAGCAACTGATCAAGCAGTAGGTATAGAATCCCAACAAAGAATTTTCAAAGCACTTATCTGAAAAATGTGACAAATGCAGTAAAACTCAAAATTAAGATTAATCATTCACTGATCGAGAGCATTCATTAATTCTAGAGTTTTCAACTAATTTTTGCCATGCTTGTTGTTTTTTCAGATATACGATCATGCGTCAATGCTGGATCGAGAGTCCGTCAGAGCGTCCTAATTTCACAGACCTGAGAGTTCAGATAGAACAGTTGTTGTCCAGGGACAGAAATTATTTAGATTTAGATAACATAGATGCTCCTTTGTCAACATCAGAAAGCAGTAGTTCTCCTAAATCTGATGATTCTGACACTATGTCTCTGCTCAACACAAGGCCGTCTGCTCACAGGGTCATTCCCGGGCAGTCTTCAAGGAGACCGGGAACCAGTTCACCGGGCACCAGTCGGTCTGGGCCCCAGAAGACAGTTACCATAGCGACAGACCCTGTGACTGTTGTGTGTATTGAGAACTCAGATCAGTGGTATATGAAAGGAGGGCAATCAGAAACCTCATCATAGCCTTTATAAAAAATTCTATGTTTTCTGTTATGAAATATGAAAAAATTGAATGACACTGACACGAAACTGCACAAAGACAAGAATGGAGGAAAAATGTTCCTCCAAATGTGCAATGGTTGTCTTTATTGTTGACTCGTTGAAGTGAACTGCTCAATATTGTGCAGTAAATATATGGACTGTGATAGCCCAGTGTTGAGAAAACTGTGTTCACTGTGCCAGCACTATTGTGCTTAGGTGTGCTTCAAGCCAGTGTACCAGCACAAGCACATTGTGTGTGCTTCTAGAAACTCTAAAATAATGTCTTTAATGAGGCTTGCTGTGATTATGTTTATTTTTTTGAAAATATGTCATTGTTTTGAATTGACAATGTAGAACTGTAAATATTTATATATTTATATTTTGCAATTAGTAATTTATTTTGTTGTTGGGGAATGTTCTCCAAATTATGTGTTTATTATGATAGGGCCAGTACATTTTTACACTACATCCTGTATTATTAACTGTATGGGTTACAGAATTTTGGCAGAGTTTGACCCCTTTCTTGTTTGTTGATTTGAGATTTTTTCAGAGACAAGATTAATGTGCTGAAGTGTAAAATAACGAACAAACAACAAATTTCGGAGCTAGAATTCAACAACAATTTAACAACATACCGGTATTTTAATATATGCCTTGAAAATAAGTATGCAAATAAATGAACAATTACGTATAACTTATGTACATGTATATTACTTCATGTACAATGTAACACATCCATCTTATTCATCTCTCAAAACATACTTCTTGAGTCAATGGTTCCTAGTTTAAATAAAACTTTATGTTGAAGGGAATTGAGATTTGAAACGTCTTTTTCAAGTGGTGCTTAAAAGGGGTGAGTATTTGCTATGGTTGTTCAGAATTAAGAATCTCAAATACACTACTTAAGTTTGATTGTTTGAATGAATTTTAATACAACTGTAAATTTTTCAAACTAAAAAAAAAATGTAATACTTTGGGCTAAAGAAGTTGTAACATTTTTTTTTTAAATTTTAGAAATGAGAACTCTTTTGAAATAATGAAAAAAGGGTTATGTTCATAGTGTCTTCAGAATCTTTAAAGTCTGTTGGTAGATAAACCCATGCATTTGCCCAGGTATCGTATATGTTATCACTTAGTAATTTATGTATATATAATACAACATGTATCATACTTGCATTAAAACACAATGAAAAATACCCTCAGGTAAACAGAGAAAAAATATTTATCTTTTTGTAAATCCACCTATGTGTATGTTACATATTCTTGTATTTCCCATCACACCATACTTATACAAAGAAAAAAAACTACATTCAAATCTTTAAACAACTTGATGAAAACATGCTCATGTAATTGTAATAGGGAAATGTTCTTTGTTGAGATTGTTTTATCATAATATGGGTTTCTTTATGAATTACAAGTATAATTTTTCATGAGTTTTATCATTTTCTTTATTCATCATTTTCATGCATTTTAACCATTTCGTGCCATACAGACTATAAACTCAACAAATGCATCTCATCACCTGTGTTTTCCTCTTTAACAGAAGAAAATACATTTACCCCCCAAAAAAGGAAAAATTAACAAGATTAAATGGAAATGTTAAAGTTATTGTTTCAAATATGAAAAAGGACATACTGGATATTTTTTCACATTGCTTTTGGTGGAATACATTAAAAATGTTAATCATTATCAACTTTTGTTTCATACAATACGATAAGTATTTCAAATTCTATTGGACCAAATCTTTAAAAAGTATTTTCATAGTCCTATGCTTTCTAAAACAGAAAATACCCTATGCTGCTTTAAAACATTTTTTTTTCAATTTTTTGAAGCTCAGAACCAAATTGGCTTTTGAAAGAATTTTAAATTTGGATGATTGAAGTTAGATATACTGCTGTATTTTTTAAATTTATTTAATATCTAACTTTGCTTTCAATAAAGAGAATTGAATTGGTCTGATGTAAGATCTTTAAAACCAACTTTTTTTTTACCTTATTTGTATAGAATAGTGGTTTTCTCCGAGTGTGTTCAGATGGATTTTCTCTTACACCTATAAAATTTATGCTGCCATTCTTTTACCTGTGTGAGTGGACTTGATTGTCTCCCCCTTTTACATGACCGTCCACCATAATATTGTCATGATTGTAAACTATTTGTTTCTGTTAATAGTTATTGTATTTCATGCATTTGTAATAAAAGAAAAAACTGTTCACGAGTCTTTTTATCCCCCCCCCAAATCAGCATCATATTATTCACAATAAAGCACCTTATAGCAGAGTGCAAGGACTGCAGTTTGATTTGTCCTAACTGTTTTAAAAAAGATGACAATGTTTTTAAGAGTAAGGGAATTTAAAATCACTTCTTTATAAGCAGGAATTTATTATAAGCAAGTTGGCTACAACCATTTTTTGATATCGCTAGAAATTTCCGAAGATTAAATTGTCCATCTTCAGAGAGCTTGAATGTAAAGCAATTAAATTGTTAATGCAGGTCCTAAACTCGATGACACACAGTTTCTGATAATTCTCGGCCATAACGTGACGTTCACAGTTGAACGTTCATGTTGAACAATATACGGATGAGAAAATGGGAGCACGTAATAATTAGAGTCAAACAGTGCAGACGATCCGAGAGGTTCTGGGCCCCGCCCTATGGATCCGCCCAAGCAATGTAAAACTTTCAAGAAATAAAGAAAACGAGTGCCTGAGGGCTCATTTGACTTTAAAGCTAAGACATTTATCGCGAGACCATACGTAAGTGGTAGCAAAATTGTGGTAAGTCCTGATCGGGGTTTCTTTGATAGTCTCACTATTCTGAAGGTATCTTAGTTAATTAAGATAAGATTACGCTTTTACATAAAACAAAGACTTTAAAAAGCTCCATGCCTGTGTGTTCTCCACTGATATTTCCTGTCTTGTATGATTCTTTCAGTAATGTAGACAAGGCAACTTTAGACGGCATAACTCAGACATTTGACAATTTTTGTTGCATTCTCAAATCTTTTAAGTTTGGATCTTTGAGTAGAAAGATACATTTTTAACGTGAAGGAACAGACATGTTGCATGCGTTTTTAAAGGGTTCGGCGACTAATGCATAAGTCGACATGGTGCAACAACTGCACGCACTGCACATTAAAACAAATTTTATTTGATTGATTAAGTTTTTATAACTTTATGCGATTTATCTTTTTTGCAAGAAAAAATCGTCTTTTAAACAAAAGGTTATGCTTGCTGTGAAACTTCCTGTTTTTTGGTCGGATGTAAAAGGCGTGTGTTCGATTGAAAATTCTTGCCGGGTTATCTTGTCAGCTGCGTTTCCAGAACTTGATATTCATCAAGAGCATGGTTTCTTTAATTCCTGTAATATATAATGTCATATTAATTAGGTTCTTCAACAAATGTTAGATGTCTAGATATATCAGAGCAACCTGTGCGATCTTTATCTCCAAGACAAATTGGGGATGCTTAAAGATACAACCAGCTTACATAAAGGTTCTATGACATTTGCGTTATATATTTTCGCGAGTTTCTTGAAGTAAACATTCGTCTGGATGCGTACTGATGAAAATGGATAGATAACAAGAGCACACGAGATTACGAATTTCTTCTTTTCGATGGTCCGGAGATTAAGAAACACGCTGTTTGACTTGAAAGTGACAGAAATGTCGTCAATTTTATAAAACTTTGAAGTAAAATCTTCCAAATGGCACCAAAAGAATTGACGGCTATCGCATACAATATTGGGTTTTCTGGTAACGATAAGTCTGTGACACGTCACGAGATAAGCCCAGATAGGAGAACTGAACGGACCCTTTGGTTTGTCTGATCTACGATGCATGCGATATCGCTAGTCATCACAAATATATCTCCGGCGGAAAAAAACTACCGACATCTTATTTTGATTATTTTATTTCTGTGTTGAATATTTCATCTTGTTTTCCCTGTACTATTGAAATCTTTAACATGCACAAGATTCCAGCCAAAAAACGGGTCACTAGACTTCACAAACTCTTGAAAGACAAAAACCAATGCAGAATATTGGGATGTTCCTCACTCATCTTTATTGTTTTATCAAAACATTGCGATAATACATTTCATTTTATGTTTAAGGAATGTTTTGGAATATTTACTAGTCCATGACAACATGCTAAACTTTAAGCTATCTTCTTTACTACAAAGTGTTACATAATTTATATAATTTATTTCATTGAAGATAGTTTGTAAAACACGGGCTTCCTGCTGATTTCAATTGATATATCATCTGATTTTTAACACAAGATCCATATATTTCCCTAAAGCAACTGTGAAATGGTCTAAATCTGCAAGATTAGTAGGCGATTAGCGAACCCAAAAGTACAGTTTAAACTTCTTGTCTGCCATTTCTGTTTTTCAATATTCAGGATGAACATATAACCATGTTTTATAGACAGTGTCGTTCACTAATTATTGAATTAGAAATTCAAATAATGAGTACACGACAATTATCGTGTACTCATTATTTGAATTTCTAATTCAATAATTAGTGAACGACAACAGTATAATGGATTTGTGATTATCATGATTATAAGAACCACGTGACGTAGTATCCAGCCTATTTATACCTATAAAGTTTCCATGATAAGAGAGGGTTTCTGGAGGCCTGCCTGTCTGTTGCCCTTATCTGAATCTTCGTTCCACCCTTACCCATCAATATTTTGACAGATTTATCAACAATATAAAAAAGTTAAGCCCCCTCAATCAAAACAATGAGCGATCGTAAACGACGCAAATGACGTTGCATGCAGTGGGTGTTTTGCTTCATTTAGAAGCGCGTTTGTTTTGCTTTCCACTGGGGATGTTGACGATGTAGCGTGTATCAAACCAACTGAACGGTGATAGCGTTAATACTCCGTTAATATATTGAAATCAACTCTTCAAGCTGGGCGCCAAATAGTGACTTAAATGTTCATGTTTCGTTTCTGATTGTATGTTTAAGATTTACATCCATGACGTTTTAAGTTAGAGGTATCGCAGATCTGAACGAACTTTGTCACTTTTATTCAAGAGTAACCGTTGCATGGTATCAGCAATGACTATAAATATACCTCCTGAGTAAGCATTTTGAAGCTCGGATGTGACAGGTGATATATATTTACTTATAAAAAGACCTGGATATATGGTGTTTTGGCACTTTCCCTCTTTTTCAAACTCCCCAAAACAATGAAAACGAGACGATACAAGATAAACTCATGACAAGATAATGAACGTCTTTCCATAAGTAACTGGAAAATGTCAAAAATTCTTCATCAACCTTTAAATCAAGAAACGATCTGGAGCAGGAAGTTAGAATTTTCTTGTCATTATCTTTTAAAATTGTCAATAATAAAAAAATAATAAAAATAAATAATATAAATAAAAATAAAAAATAATAAAAAAAAAATAAAAGTTTATGTTTTATAATTAAAAAAAATTAAACGAAAGAATAATCACATACGAGTATTTACAAAAAATGTCTTTATTCAAACACAATTTTGTACAGCTCAAAACATATTGGACAATTGTAATCACGGGTTTTATTTTCTTTTTATTTTTAACATATTGAAA